CTAAGCACATACTTAGCACTGTAGAAGTTGGGCAGGCTCAGGATGCTCTATCCTTCTTTCCCTGCAATCAGAATTGACATGAGGCTTAGAAACCTCACTTATCTTCATTAAAAGCCACCAATGGGACTGTATAAACCTTATCTGGGCTGTAACAAAGCTGCTTTCACAACTGCACCAAAGAGCTGCAAAAATGATGCTAATGCTCAAGGCTTCAGATTAACTTTAATTCTTCACACGAAAGCTTGAGAAGAGCCTACTCTTGGAGAGATGTGTTACAGGCTGCAAGGCTGGAATGATTTCTGAGGACTACTTATGGAAACTTCAGTAAAATCAGAATGTCCAGTAATAGATTGTGACAACTGGAAGCACCAGTTTAATTGCGGCACCAGTTAATTCAGCTCCAGTTCACATCATTGGCCATGATGACACAGTTCAGTGCCTGTCATAAAATCATACAATCACTAAGGTTGGAAAAATCACTAAGATCATCTAATTCAACCATCTACCCATCACAAGGACAGGTTCATGAAAGGGTGAGATTCATGAAAGGGCCTGGGTTCCTTCTTCACTTTCTCTGAGTGGGTTTTCCTCTCCTTTTTAGCTGTGAGGAATGAAACCCTTTCAGGACAACTTTTTTAAGAACACAAGCAAGATTGATGCAGAGATGGTAGATAGGCATGAACAAAATGTAGAAGTAATAATGCATTTAAAAAGTTGTCACTCATTCCATTTTCTTAAATTTCCAAATTATTAAAGCTAACTTAATAACAACATCCACTGTGTTATTATTATGATGATGATAGCATCCATCCGCCATTGATTTTTCATGGCTAATTTGCATGTCCTGCAAAGTAAATCTTCATATATTCAAAACAAAGATGTGGTAACGAGAGCCACAGGATATTTACATAACACAAAGCAGGTCAGCATCCAGAGAAGAAACAAAACAGCAACTCTCAGCACAGCAAGGTACCAATTTTCTCCACTATTCCAAGGTATTCTGCAAAAAACAAGCTACTGCGTCCAAAGGGAAACGTCAAAAAGTTCACAACTGCAATTATCACTTTCACCAAATGCTTAGCACCCTGTAGCTCAATTAAAAATAAATAGGTCAGCTGGCTCGAATGAAAAAGTACTAATTAAGGCATTTTTTATTTTTTATTTTGCCCATAAGAACTGAATAGTCGGCTAGTATTTTTATTGAAGCTACCTGATTTATATAATGCTGAATTAATTAATTTTCAATCGCTATTTGATCTCTTATGATATTACTTTACTTTCTTCCTCCTCCTTGCAAAGAGTGATTAGGCTGTGCCACTAATGAGAAACATTAATTTAATAGTTTTAAAATACATCATTAAACTCATTTCTTGAACACATTAATATTTCTGATTTATTTTGAATTCAAACACCAGCCCTTCTGCTTTAAGCAATGAAAACTCCACTCTGCATTTCTGATGCTAACAGCTGATGGTGTGTAGGGGCATCTGCCTTCCCAGCCCTGTGACTCTCTATTGAAGTGCAGAAATTGCTAAATTCGGAGACTGACTCTTTCTTCCATGCCCGATAGCCACGATGACCAATAGAGCAGATAACAGGAAAATTCTTAATGCATTGTATAGCCCTCAGTATTCCTCATCCTACAGCATACTCTATATTTCAACTGCAGATCAATATAATCACTATGGTTAGACCTCTCAGTACGCCAAGCATTTCATTAATTCCTAGGAAGAACAATTCTGCCAACACACTGCAGCCAAGGAGCTCCCCCATGGTTTTAATATTGCCAAGCAAAGTATTCGCCCTGTACCAGATCTCTGAAGCCAGTGCTGTGTCTGTTGAGAGATGATTTGCTTTTATGACCATAGAAAGTGAGAGATAAAACCATTTTACAATAAGGGCGGGGATTTATTTAACTTATCTTTCTGCTAAGTCACTGTGATACATCTTGATGCAGTACACTGCTGTGTGCCATTAAAAAGAAGAATCTGAAGGGGAAAAAAAAGCAGAAAAGCAAAATCATATTTCTTCTAGGTTTTGACTAACCTCTTCTGGTGTTTCCTATTTCATCTAATTTTGGTATTACTAACAAAACAATGAAGAGTATAGTTGTCAGCACCTCAAACACAATGGTCTTCAGAAGGCAAGGCATTCCTGTCTTTTTTCTTCTTATCATCTGTGAATAATGCAAAAGGGAAAAAAAAAAAAAAAAAAAAAAAGTGCTACCCTTGGAATCACACATAACAAAAAGAGCAGAATAAATGAAATCAGAAATTATTTTAACTGATGAGGATGCCAGCCCTAAGACAAATGATGTTGAACACGGCTGTTTCATCAATTACAGGGAAGTTTCAGGGGTTTCCAGGTTTGTATTGTATCAGTGGTTCTGCACAGTTCATTGCTTTCAGATGTGCTCACTTCAGATTGTTTGACCGCAGCTGGAATTCATTTGGTGATGGATTGCATTGAGAAATGTAAGGAGGCATTTAATAGCAATCGCCTCAGATCGCTTTGCTTGTGCAGTCAAACAGAAACATATTACTCTGCTAGGGTAAAGCAATAATGGATTTAGGCAATAGGACATAGATACATGTGTGTATGACAGTGACCAGTATCTCTGAGCTACCCATCCTTTCCTTTACTGCTATGGAAATGAGAATGGAGACCAACCGGTATGTATCAATCAACCAAAGAAATCCAAGAACAAGAAATAAAAACAGGCACTACCTCATTAGTAGTAAAACCAGATGCCAACATATCTGAAGTTGAGCATAGGTCTCACTGCTGAACAAAGCAAAGTGGATGGAGTAAATACAAGTTAGAAAAAACAGGCTCACTTCTGATCCAATTGCTCTGATTTTACACTAAAAACACCATCCAGGTATCTCCATCTCAAGATAAAAGGTGTGAATTTAGGAGCACAACCTTAGGAATGTGACAAAATTCAAACACATTCAGTGCACATTTAAATCTGTTGCTGAATAAATAAGTACTGCAGCTCATGCTTGAGTGAGTGCACGTCACTAATTGGTCACGTTGAATGGTCTTGTACCATATTTTGCTCTTTATCTACTGCAGTAGATGGTGAGACTATCCATATAAATGCCTTCCTACCACTCAGTCCTCAACACAAAACAGGGGTTATTGCACTTTGCTGGACTCATAGTAAGGTAAGAGGAAGGTTCTGTACTTTTATACACCAGTTAAAAAAATGATTGACATTCAATTTCCTTGCAAAGCTTTGCCCCTTTGTAAAAACAAAAGGGCCTTTTCTCTTCCCATTCCCTCTCCTGATATTTAGAAGTGTTTTAAGCAGGGAAGATCAACTTCCACACATGCACCCAGCTCCTGCTGTCATGATGCCCATCTCCCAGATGCAATACAACAACAACAAGCAGAATGAAACTTCTTTCCAAGATCAAGCCCAGTGAGAGTGGTGCTTTTGTGTTCTTTTTTTTTTTTATTGCAGATTAATTTATTGGTGAACAATAAGGGTTATAAAAGCAGTCATCTCAAGGTTAACGTGCTACTCAAAAACCCAACAGTCAAGCAGAGTGAATAATTCATAACTAATTGCTTATTTAATCGCACACTCTTTGTACATGATGCAAATGTAATACTCCTGGAGGCTTCAGAATCCCCCCCTCTCTTCAGCAAGCCATAAAACTTCTATATCTGCTCTCTAACACACGTGCTTTGCTGCTTCACTGTATCAAGCAAGGAATGTTTCCATTTCCCAAATAGTTTGCTTCCAAAAACATTAATCGTAGCATCATAATAACAACCACCCAGTGAAAACTTTGTAAAATCCATTTATAAACATTGGCCGTGTTTTCTTCTCTTTGTTGCTGAAATAAATGGAATCAAACATGGGGCTTCTGAAGGAAAGAGACCCACACCGTAGATCTGCAGTGAAGGAAACAAGAAGAGATTATCTTATGTTTTGTCCTGTGTGGTCTTGTACAAATAATGCTGACAAGTAGTCCCAGCTCCCCAAAACTGAAGCATGGGGCAGCATGCCACAAGCCAAATTATAAGCCCAGTTTCAATGATTCCCCTCCTCATTGCCTTTTCCTTCATTTTTCTTTTTTTGTTTTAATATCAAAACAAAGTTTTGCTTCATTATAATTCAAACACACGTTTACCTTTGAAACTTTGATTAATTTACTCTTTATCTACAGGAACATAAAGGAATATCAACATGTGATAATATCATTTCATTTTTCTGAAAAAAATGGCTATGGAATATCCAATTTGTGGACTTAAATACTTCATACTGACTTATATTTCTTACATACTTTAAGTCCCTAAACTGGATATGCCATTATTCTTAGTCTACTATAGGTAGATACTAAAGGTATATATAGTGTAAATAAAAACTATAAAAAGTATACTAAAAGTAGAGATTATAGTCCTAAGCATCCTTTGTGCAGGTACTGCTCTAAAATGTATTAACTCATACTACAATCTTGTATCACTATTTATAGTTTCTCGTAGCAGGAAAGTCTGAGCTGAGGGCAAAACCCTTTTGGAGCTCTTCCAGGTTCTTCCTGACACATTTTAGGTTCCTCTTTTCCACTGTCTGGAATATATTTTCTTCCTTTTCAGATTATCCCAATTCAAATCAGAGCCCGAATCTTCCACACTGGCTGACAAACTTCAAGCACAGTGTTTACAGAATTCATTTTAAGCTTTATTCACCTGTTGATATGGGTTCTGAGGAGGATGTAGGAGCACATTATCACCTGCTGTCCATAGGTCATAGGCATCAGCACACCCCCTCGTGTCCAATGCAGCTGTTACTATCACCTGCCCGAGTAAAACACATTTCTATCCCAATTTACCTAATTGCAAATGAAATGTGCTGTTCCACTGCACCAGCATCAGACATCAGTTTGTCAGAACAGACACAACTTCGCCACTATTTCTAGCTCAAAACATCCATTCCTTTACTCTTCTTTCTCCGTGCCCTTTTCTAAACTGACCTCTAGCAGACAAAATATCACCCCCACATCTGGATGATACCCACAAGTGCTCACAACAGAGCAATGACATTTTACCATTAGCCAGCACATGCATTTTGCTGCCTACGTACAGCAGAAGAGAGGGGTGGTGATATATAAAGATTCTAATTCTATTCATACTGACATTTACTGTGGAATTCCAGCAAGAGAGAAAACCTCTCATTTTCAAGTCCTTCTCACAGACAAGTGGTCTAGAAAATGAGGTAGAAGTTTTAAACCCCTGCAAGGAATTTGCAAAACCAAGTGACTTGCTACATGAAAATACCAGCATGTTTTAATTAGTCAAAATCAGATATTTTAAAAGTCTCCAAATTAAAGTCTTGGAAGGAAAGTGGCTTGTCATGCTAAAGGTTAGTCATTAGGAATATGTAGGCTTGGATTTTTTATGTATTTTTTAAGTGAAGTCTAGCCACCAGCATTACAAGACCCCAGTTCAGATAAAAAAGAATTGGACAATTCTGCCCACACACATCTGTAAGGAGCTTTTTGGTGCAGGAGCCCATCAAGTCATGGCAGTCAGCAGTGCCCACACAAAGGGTCCCACAGGTGGAAATGAGAGAAACAGTTTCTTCTGACAACAGGGGTACAAGAAATAATCTGTGGTTACAGCTTGCAAAACAAAAAGCAATTCTTTCCATTGCTGAATATAGTCATTTACTCACTGTATTCTGCCCACTCTGCAGCACAGTGCAGGAACCCAATCAAGGTAACTTCTGCAGGGCTGGAAGGTTTGGAACAAGCAGGTTGGCCACCCATGGGAGCAAATCCCAGCTTTTAGTGGATGACCTTTCAACCAGCAAGGCACTCCAGTCTGATAAACCCCCAAGTCTGGTGACATCCCATCCAAGTGACAAGTTTTTTTTACTCTAAGTATTTTAAAGATGCTTGCTATGGGAAAGATATTGCCCTGAGAGTACCTTTGTCTCCATAAGTCCCCAAAAGGGCCAGCCACTGGACAGAAGGTTACTGAGCAAAGCTTTAAGGCCTACAGCTCAAAACACAGCCCATTCCGTATGAAATATCAGTACTAAAGGCAAAAAAAAATGTGTGTGTTTAAGTATTGCAGATAAATCCATAGATTCACCTTGTTTGTAAAGCTATTTGAATAGCTCTCAGTTTATCAAGGTGCATCAGCAAGCGTTCAAGCCCATTTCTACATAAACTATCAGTTAAACGTGAAATAGTGAGCATGTTTTTCAAGTCCCAAAAGTTGTTAGGCTCAATCCTCAGTATAAAATGAGTGAGGTGCTTCATTAAATCAGGAAAAATCTCATTTCTCTGGATTCCATCATGCACACTCATGAGGATGCATTTTGCTCTCACCACCAGAGATCGATTCAGTAACTGCAAAATCAGGTGATAGACATGATTTTGTCAGGAGCTTCCAATAGTATTTCCTTTAACTTATTCCAGTAGCTCATGTTATGGAGACCCTGCTAACAAAGGAAAAGAATTGATTTCAGCAGGGTACCAAAGAACTTAGGCTCATCCAGATGCAGCCTCTTGGCTTGAATCCATCCAGCCTAGTTGATCACAATGCTTTAATAGCAAAAAGTCCATTTCAGTTCTTCTGCTCCAACCACAGACCTCCTCTCCTGGCAGAAGACGCTCCTGAAGCCATTACTCCATCCTCTACTTCTTAAGTGATATGATTCCCAAAGAAAACTGGAGAAGCAATTCAAGATTAAAACATCATTTTATTTTTTTTTACCCTAAGAAATGAAGATGTTCAGGTCACTACCTGCCTCTTGGCAGTAATTTGCATGTCAATGGATTATGTGGGGTTTTAATATGTAATTGTTTTGTAATTCAAAATGAACTGTTGCCATAGCAATCCCTACACACTGTGTAAGATGTATTGTTAGTCAAGTGCCTCAAAGAAAAAGCTTACCCAGACATGCATTGACAGCTTCAATAGACTCCGTAAGCCAACCCATACATCCTGAGGTCTGAGACATTTCAAAACCAGAGATTCAGAGAGAGGGAAGTCAAAAGAACAGACCACTAATATTGGCCATTTTTTGATTCCTTCTTTTACAGCAAAACTCTCATACAACTGATGTACATTGCGAATTATTTTCTAGTAGAGGAGCATTCTGGTTTTAGGATTTTTCTATTCCTATTTATTTTTTAGACAGCTTGAATTGTGTAGTTTACATGAAGAGAATTTGTTACAAATGACAGCTTTTTTAATCTTCAGAAGAAAGTTCTTTTGTCAGCTGATTAGCACTGGCTAACTTTCTAACTGCCACAGATTTTCTCCTCGACCATCACTTAAAATAATAGATAATTAGTCTTTAGCATTTGTTTTTTGTTTTTGTTTTTTTTTTAATTTTTATTTTTTTTAAAAAAACATTTCTTACCAAGGGCCATGATGTAAACCTCAACACAAAACAGTTCTAGAGCTAATCACAGTAAGTAAAAGGATGCACTAAGAGCAAACTTCAATGTTTGTCAGCAACAAATCGCACCTGGAAAGAAAATATACTATTGTGAAATTCAATGGCTAGGGATCACCAAGTCGTGACATCTGTGTTTGGGTCAGACAGCCCTGGTTACTGTTCTGATTTGTGGTTTCTTTACTTTCTTCTAGCTGCAAGAGCAACGAGAACAAGGCAGGAATCCCTTTCTGAGCATCATGGCAGCTGGGCACGCGTATAGAAGTGCTTGCACTGATGTGCAGTGATAGTATTTGCACAATCATTCTACATTAATTAAAAGCTCTGTCCAAAAACAGAGCTAATGAAGTTTACCATAGGACATGCAAGTCAATTATATCCAATATTAACTGGAGTTCCAAACTGGACAGGACACAGCAGTTCATTGAGAAAGCTTATATACTGAAGCATGAGCCTGTCCTATGTTCGCATAGGAAAGGAAACGTGTGAACTAAACTCTCCTGAGATCACAGACTTCTGGTAAAATGGTGTCTTTCCTAGATCCTCTGCTGTCCAGAGCAATAAGAAGTTGCCAGAAGGACCAACACAAACCTTACAAACATCTCAACAGCATTTTTTAGACTGAACAGATAAAAAGGAGCTGCTGATGTCTTATCAGCTAGACTACTTGTAATTTTGAGACTATTTATTTCAACATTTTAAAAGGCATTTAACACTTATCTTGATCTAAATAGATTTGTCCTATTTTTACTGAAGAGTCGTCCACATTCTCTCTTTCAATTCTCTTCTATTTCTACAATTAGAAGTTCTACCAACCTGTAATCGAAGCCCTTTAGATTTCATTGCTGAACTACAATAGTATTGGTTTATACCTCCTAACTCCCAGTGCAACATATATATCAAGCTACTCTTTCATCTCCTGCATTTCCAAACATTTTAAACACCTTAATGGCTTTTCTCGCTGAACCATAAAAATTATTTATAAATTCATTTTAGGACATTCATGCAACAAGAAACTCATAACGTATCATGAAACACAAATTATGTTTACTGGAGTACAAAAAATTATTTGGGTCTATGTATATGCAACGAAGAAAAAAGCCAACTGCTTCTCAAAGTGGTCTCTTATTACAGGCAATCACAATCAACACCTGCAAGGTGAGGAGGTAATGAGTTATTTGTTCCAGAGTAATTTTTTAAACAAACAACCTGACAGGAAAGAACAATATCTTCTAAGACTTAATTTGAATTAAGTACATTTGGTGAGTTACAGAAGGATCGTGGCACTTCATCCAGTATTTTTCACATCTAAGTAGCTGCAGCATCTGCTTTTCTCTAAGGTTAATACTAACACCATGGGCTATTAATCTTAGTTATTTCTCCACAACTGAGCAATACTCCACAATCACCCCAACACTGACATTTCAGGGAAAATGTTTTTTTAATCAAGATTCATATGTTATCTGGGCTCCAGGAGAAGGAGAAGTTAGTTTTTACATAACTAATGATATGCGAAGCACTGACAGCTGGTAGTCATTTTGGAAACATTCAGCTGTTGGAGGCATAACTGTATGAACACAAATGCATTCAATCAGATGCATAAGAGTACAAAACACTAAGTCTAAAATTTAAAACTGAATTCAAATTCCCCAAAACAACCAGCAGTTTTGACCTTCTACTCCCAAGAATCACATGCCATGCTTGCTCCACAGGCCACTATGACCCACAGGGATCATAGTGGGTCATACCTCGGTCATGGAACTTGGGAGGTAGAAGACATCTCTCTCCAGTTGTCCCTGGTTCTCTGGCTCCCATTTGCCCTTGTCAGGAGGCTTACTATTGTAGCTCATCTTGTAGCACTATATAGTACTGTGAGAAAAAAAGGCTGGGAGTTATTAGCCAAGAACTTTTGGATATCCTTTTAGACACAGCTGGTCACCTTTAGGACAACACCGCAGCCCTTTTGGCCATTCTCAAAATGCTGACCCTCTGCCACACCTTCTCCTTCCCTCTTAGTAAAGAGCACAGGGATTTCTCGCAAAGAACCATTAAAGGATGATAATGACAGAGGGCACACCATCTTTTTAGTATTGATGGAGTGGGGTTCTCTTCTCTGTTGCAAATGGATCGTAACATCCTTTTTGAGTTTAGTATAAAGTATTTCAACGCAAAGCATAATCTGCCAGATCTATAATGCAGATTTTTAGTAAGAACCTTTGTGCAAGAAAAAGGACATAAACCACCTGCCTTTGAATTCAGATAGAAACACTGATGATCTAAATCATCCAACCCTGGTATATAAATGAAAGGCAACAACCAGACCAGGGACTGATCCCTGGAGAACTCCTTTATGATTCACTGTGGAAGATGAAAAGCTGTCTATGTAAACAAATTGTTTATGGTCTGTTAAGCGAAAGTAAAACCAATGGAGTGCAGCAGATGCAATTCCAGCTGAGGATTCAATCTTACAAAAGTGCATGGGTCTGACCCTGCAGCCCTTTTTCATAAGAACTGCTTCCCTGCAGACACTCAAACAAGCAAGGACTGCAGTACTTGCCATCTGTGCCCGATTGGTCTCCAAAGAGTCAAAGCTTGAAGCAATGCTTTGTGTTCTGCCATCTGAAGGAAGGCAGAGAAGCTGCAGCCAAAGGCAAGCTCTGGGAGTACAACAGCATCACTCAATTCCTGCATTGCCACCATGATCATCCAGAGAAACCTTACTCTTCCAGGGGGCTTTACTGTTCCATGTTCCAGTCAATTATAGAATCACAGAATCCCTAGAGTTGGAAGGGATCTGTAAAAGTCATCTGGTCCAACTCCCCTGCAATGAACAGGGACACGCATGGCTAGATCACGTTGCCCACGTTCTGACCCAGCCTAACTTTGAAAGTCTCCAGGGATAGGACATCCACCACACCTCTGTTCAACCTGTTCCAATGTCTCACCACTCTCACTGTAAAAGACTTTTTACACAGAGTCACAGAATTGCCCAGGTTGGAAGGATCATGACATCAAAGACATCAAGGATCATGAATCTCCAACCCCCTGCCACATGCAGGGCCACCAACCTCCACATTTCATACCAGCCCAGGCTGCCCAGGGCCCAACCAACCTGGCCTTGAACACCTCCAGGGACAGGACATCCACAGCCTCTCTGGGCAGCTGTTCCAACACCTCACCACTTACATAGCAAAGAACTTCCTCCGACATCCAACCTCAATCTGCCCTCCCTCCATTCAAACCATTTCCCCTCGTCCTGCTGCCATCTCCCCTTGCACAGAGCTGACTCCACTCCTGCCTGCAGGCTCCCTTCAGGCACTGCAGGCTGCACTGAGGTCACCCCGCAGCCTTCTTTTCTCCAAGCTGAACAAGCCCAGCTCCCTCAGCCTGTCTTCGTGGTGGAGGTGCTGCAGCCCCTGCTCATCTTTGTGGCTCCTCTGGACCCTCTCCAACAGCTCCCTGTCTTTCTTGTCCTGGGGGCTCCAGCCCTGGACACAGTGCTGCAGATGGGGGTCTCACGAGAGCAGAGCAGAAGGGGGGCATCACCTCCCTGTCCCTGCTGGCCACCCCTGTTCTGATGGAGCCCATGATCCCATTTGCTTTCCGAGCTGTAATTGCACACTGCTGGCTCATGTTCAGTTTTTCATCCTCCAGGGCCCCCAGGTCCTTCTCTGCAGGGCTGCTCTCAAGCTCCGCTCCTTCCAGTCTGTATGGATGCCTGGGATTCCTCCAACCCAAGTGCAAAACTCTGCACTTTGCCATGTTGAACCTCATTAGGTTCACCCGTGCCCATCTTTTCAAGCCTGTTGAGGTCCCTCTGAATGGCATCCCTTCCTTCCACTTTTTCCTTCTATCCAACCTAAATCTGCCCTCTTTAAGCTTGAAAGTTAAGAGCAATCTCTTTGTTTTCTGATGGACGTTGGAGCATGTACACAGAGGACTATAAAGATGGCAGACATTCAGATTGCAATTCTGCTGAGCAACCTCATAACTTTCTTTGTCCTTTACTCCACTCCACCAAAATGACCTCACTGGGATTCTCAGTGAAGGACCTAGAAGGATATGTTCTCTAACCTGAGCACAATTTGTTTTGCAGTGATCTTACAGTGGCAGATGCATTTTAACAGCATTAAACATCCTTATGCTCTTCTAAATCAACCTTGCCTGACTTTCACCATTTCACCCTGCCATTTCCTGTTTATTTCCAGACATCATCACACTCAACCTCAGATTTCTTCATTAACCCAAGGAGCTGGTATTTCCCAGGATTGCGTGACAGCTGCACCACGCTGAGCGGAGGCAATAAAACATCTGCGTGCTCAGTGTATTCATCTGGGCAGACAGGAGCAATGGGGATTCAGCTAATAATCCTGATGTTCTTCCACGCTCACCTGGCCTCCCTTATGGCATCCTTTAGGGCATTATACCTCACACCACTTTTTCACTTTGGTTTTAAAACTAACAACCCTTTGACGTTTCCAGTTTACAGGCTCTTGATAATTGGTACTGTTCTTAGACAGCAAGAAAGAATAAACCCTGCCCAGCAGAGCCCTGGGGAAGGGATTTATGATTGCATAACGAATTTACAGGTAAAATAAGGTATTTCAAATCCATTCTTATACTCATCATTTGAGTTTTAGGGTTTGTAACCACCCCACGGGTCCTAATAAAAACCAGCCTCTGCAGACCTGTACCACAAGAAATACCAACTCTCCTAACAGAATATGGATAAGTAAGTGTCTGGCACTGGGAAACATTCAAAAATCCAATTGAGCATGAAATATGGGATGCTGGAAATAGAAACAGATAAACGGTATTAAGTAGTAAATAAGTGAGACAAGGCATGCATTGTTCAAATGCGGCCTCTGAGCTAGGGAGAGCCTGCTCTACACAGATAATTGTCTTTAGGAGAAAAGTGGAAAAGATTATGAAATCTGTAGTATTTTTGTACTTGTCTGAGATGCACACAAATCAGTTATTCTAATTACTTCTGAAGGGGACGACATTTGTCTCATTACTAAAATAGTGCCAACAGCAGATAAGGAAGATGCAATGCCAAACCAGCTCTTAATTCTCAGATGCATTGTCTAAATGCCCATATCTCCAGAAGGCAAAAAAAAAGTCATAATCACAGGACAAATCTGATCTTAATAAGCAGAAAATCATAGGAATTTCCACATCTGTTTTCCTCTTATTAGATTAGCAGTGGTGTCACATTTGATGTCATGCCACTATACACTGACCTTCAGCAACTTAAAAATCACTGAAGCTTTTGGAAGGAAGCTTTTGGAAGCTGCTTTTCTTGGCAAGGAACATATATACACAAATTGTACAAGCAGAAATAAGAAGTGCATGACTAGGGATATGGGGGAGCCCAGTTGCAAGTATCTCCAAATAGCATCCAGCAGCCCTCAAAGTTTTTCTGACACTTGAAAAGCATTTGTCTTACAAATGAATTTTAAAACCAAATTTTTGCATGTTAGCCACATGTGGAGGAAATGCAGAAAGGAAACATCCCAGAATCCAGCAAGATCTATTGTGCAATTATGCATATAAGTGGGTGAGCTGTAAAACTCAATTTCCTCCATTGGTGTAAGCAAACAGCCCTTCAAGTACCTGGCCACAATGGTATCTCATGTGAAGCCTGCAATTTAGAAACGAAAGAGCTCAACTCCTGAAAGATGTTCTGCAGCAGCAGCAGAATTTGAACACTTCTCAACATCACACATCTGTGCAACCTCACCTGCTGAGCTCAACCACGCATTTGCAGCACCATCTGGGATGAGAAGAATCACTTTTGGGGTTTGATGCTGAATTCTTTCTTGGCCTTCCATCAAACATAAGCACAGGTCTTTAGGGACCGAGGCAGCAATGTTTAGAAATTGGTGCAGGAGATGTGGCTTGAACACACAGCTCTCCTGCACAGGAAGGGGTTTGTAGAACTCACTCAGATGTCCTGGAAAGCTTAACTGAAGGTCATGATTTTGTCTTGGCCATTACAAACTGGTAGAGCAGCCCTTGAAAGGTTTTTGCTACTGGCTGCAAGTAAGGGCAGTTTAACTTGGAGCAAAACGTTGCTTAGTGACTTGAAGTCTGTCAATGTCACGCTATTTCTGAAGCTGTAAAAGAGTCTGGGTGATGCTCCAGAAGCTAGGTTCTCATTAATGGAGAGGACTATGTGTACTAGGCAAAATTCCTTACCAAGACTCCTCTACACTGATGAGCACCATGTTCTGCCTTGAAAATGTCTATTTTTGCACTTGGACTATTTTATTTCCCTACTGTTGAAATGAAAAGTTGGCCAAACCATTTCAGCAGTGCCTGTCACACACTTGCTTTCTCCTGCAAATCCTAAAGCTCTGATTCTCTTCATTAAGTCACTGACCATACAAAGAGAGGCCTCTATGTAAATTATCACCAACAAAGCTAAATGCACAGAAATGATGTAGAAATTGTACTGTAGCATCACTGAAGTACAAACAGAACTTCCTGAAGAGGAAATACTTCCACATTCACAACCCAGAACTCAACACAAAACAATAATGACCTGAATTTTCAAAGCTTCCTTCTATTAAATGCTGTGACAGGATTCAAAAGCTTTCCAAACTTTATAGATCATGTAAAACGAATAATAGCACAAATAAAATAGCCCACCTCCACTCCACACCAATAAAGCCATCAGCTGTGAGAAGACAAAAACAGAGTTATTAATCACTCCTCCTCACAAAAACGCAAGCCCAGCTGAAGGTCAATCCAATAGTCTGCCAAGCCCAGTTTATCTGGTAGCATATGCTTAAAGAACAAAGTAATCAGAGACAAGCACACAATGATATGTCACTCATTCTCATGACAGATTTGCAATACATCTTTTCAGAGCAGAAATACCACCTGAGACAATGCTGAATGGATCCTCCTAGAAGCCCTTTAACCTTTTCTTGAATTAATCTATATTTTGGGTTTCTGCCACACCAAGTTGTAAGAGTCCCACAATTCAATCACTTGTCTTCTTCAGCACTATTTCTACTTTTTAAGCCCACAGCTTTGTAATTTTATCTATAGTCCCCTCTGCTCCTGGTATTGTGATAAATAAGATTTAACAGTAATAATTGGCTTCTCATGTATTTCTGTTGCTTCCTCTGAAATGAAAAGCCATGCATCCAATCATCCTTGTCATGCACAGGAGCTGGTATGGAAGTATAACCAAGCTGTACCCTTACATGTTCATCTAATATTTATTAATAGAGTAAATTCAGGGAGAGAACAGGATGAAGATTCCTATTTTCTTTCCCTTTGCCATAAAGCTCGACACGTCTATGTCATTCCTTTCGTCAGAAGAATACAGAGAAGAGTATGGTAGAAGTAGTTCTATGGCTCCAGGAACAGCTCCCTGTATGGCTACCAGTTCCCCAAGCACCAGCTGAGCACTTGTCCAAGATAAGAGCTGCCTCTCATCCTGAACTGAGCAGTTGGAAGTCAGAAGGGAGATTACAGCTGCTGCAATTAATCCAAGTGTAAAAAGATTAACGACAGTTTATCCACCATTTATTCTCTTATGACTGACTACAGTTAATGACACTAACACCTTCAACAACATATGGTCTGGGTCCAAAAGCAGCTCAATTGTTCCTCCAAACTCTTCCCTCCCCCCAGATCACAGACTTGGACAACATCAGAAATCCCAGGAACAGAAGAGCAGCATTGGGCAGTTGGTTGAGGTCCTTCCTTCATTTGCATCCAGATGAGATGCTTTATTACTGAATATCAGCTTTGCTTCTCCCCCACAGAGCTGCATATCCATGATTGGGAAGAGCTTCATTTTTTCTCCCCCATCTTGCATAGGAACGCTGGTCATCTTCCTTCATGTTATCTTCAAAATCACATCAGTGGGATAATGGCAGGGACTGCACTGATTCCGTAAGACTATAAGGTCTTCAAACAACACAGCTAGGTCTCAGTGGAAAATGAAGAGAAAACAACCTCTATTTGGTGGTGTCTTTCACACCTTTGCCAAAATGCCCCCTCCATCCTTTCCCTGAATATCTGCAGTGATGGCAACAAGTGCAACGCACGACGTTTCTTGGAGCGGGAAGTACTTTGTAAACAAATAGCCAGTCTTCAAGTACAAAACAAGCAGATCCGACTTTCAAACATTTGGCAAGGTGCGGGTACATGATGACAGCGTGTTAAATTCATTATTCAACACATTGCAAAGGGTAACGTGTCAGAGTGACAATTTATACCATACTTACCCCCAGTCAAAGGTAGCTACAGAAGCAATACAGCAGAAGAGACATCCAACCTGGAACAGCAAAGAAAGCCACTTATCAGAATTAAGCATCTTCATAACAAAGAGGAATTAAGGAAATAATTAACAATTATTTCCTGGAACAATTTTGGGGGTAAAACCATTGCTTTTTTTTTTTTTCCTCCCAGAGACATTGTCTCTTCTGGAAAAAAAAAAAACCAAAACTTGCAATCATTTCCAGTATCCCTGGAGAGTCATATAAAAGTGGGTTCCCAAATGATATCATACAGCACTTCCCTTTTATTCTTAGTGATCTGAAGAACCCAGTTGGATTTTCTACTCTTAAGTCTGCTCAGACAAAGATGTAGGTCTTCCAGGCTGGATGTGGCTCCGGGGTGCCTGGTCTGTTGACCCTGCACATAGCAGGAGGGTTAAAACTAGATGATCTTTGAGGTTCTTTTCAAACCCAGGCCATTCTACGATTCTTATCTGTGTCCTTGCTAACAGGACCATAACCCAGTACTCTGGAGGTTGGCATAGTTAGATCTTCCCAGCTCCACTGCCAGCCTGCAGGCTGACCTGGAGTTGTGGAGGTCTGTCTGGTTTTAAAGTGAAGGTAACACTGATACTCACTGCCAAACTCTTGGAAATAGTCAAGCACATTCCAATAGGTCAGGGACCATTTTTTGGGTTAGTGCTGCAATCAAGAGCAAGACGATTTCGTTTCTCTTGTTGAAGATTTCTTCCAGCTACAAGGAAGCAAAGCATCCTGAAAATACTTAAGGTTTTAAGTTGATAAACAAGAAACCTCTGCTGCAGGCACAAGGGCATAAAGGCAACGACTGCCTTGACAGCCCAGGTAACTCAGCCTTTATGGCTGCAGAAGTCGTCAGTGCCAACAAGTGGCAGCACAGGGCTGTTACTCATGTTTATCGTAAATCATTCATTAAAATGGATGTTACCCAACACAAAAAGTATGTTGGGTGTCTGGGTACAATAAGAATTAATTTACCATTCACAAAGCTTCTCATTTAGTTAAATCAGCTGTGTTCCAGCTTCGTTATCGGTGTGTTTCTAATGTATTTCTTCCCTATATTTTTGCAGAGCTGGCTCAAACTGAGCTTTATTTTTTATTATTAATTTAATGTAATTCGTATGTATTCCTGGGAGTAGGCCATGTGGTAACAATTGCACTGCTACATTGCCATCTCCAGGCAAGATGAAGAACTGTATAAGGAGCTCTCAGAACTGAATACAGATATCTATTCACAGAATTTTTCTCAACTAAAAAAAAAAAAATCACTTTTTTTGGTATATTAAAATCAGTCTTGGAAACCAGAATGACATTGCATATTATATCTAAGCTGACAAACTCATGTTAGGTAAATGCAATGCTTTGTCAGAGGACTTCCCATTGGAGAAGAATACTGCAGAAACATAGCTAAATTCATGTACATGCATAGGAACCAGAGGAGCATTTTTATGTTTAACACTCTTGCTACTTGTTTAAGGGGCCTTCTTCTCTCACATCTCTAACATAGATGCCAAATTAAGAAGTCGGAAATATTAGCAAATATTTCTAGGCAAGAAATTAATAACCACAGAAAAGAAATACAATTACAGAGTGAAGAGAAACATGGTGAACTGATGCCAAATTTTAAGGTCAAAATAGAGTTTCATTTTCTTGATCAATTCTTAAGACATACAACCCTTGATAGCAAGTGACAGATTCCTGCCCTTTCTTTTGTTAAACCAACTGTACCTCTTCACCACTGCCCAGTGGCAAATACTGGAAATCATCAGTAAAACAGATTAAGTTGAGGTTACATACAAAGCACTGACACTACACTCCAAGACAAACAGAAGAGATTCACCACTGAGGACCAATTATAGCAGAACATCAACATGATGCGCTCTGTTTTACCAATGCTTATATGGAACATCAGGAGTCTAGGTGAAACTACAGATTAATTCAGGTATCATTTCCAAACTCATTTCCCATCTTGTGAAGAAAATTTATGCAGCACAGAAACAAACACAGAAAGTTTCATGCTTCTGAGCTTATTCAATGAGATCAGTTGACACGACAGTGTTGTAAAGGCCATCCAAACCTGTTTATTCTGACTAATTTCCATAATCTATTGTGCTTGCATCTGGCTCCATCACTTCCAGAGGCAGCTTGTTTCCCCAAACTCCTTATTTTTCATTCCTCTTCACTCATGTCTTATTTCCTATTTTCACTCATTCTTTTAATGTCCTCTTCACGTGACTGATCCCTTTGGATCAGTCAGGAAAGAATATAGCAGTCCTGAGGGAGTTCAGAGTTACTGTTTCCAAAGGGCTAACATCTAACATCCTATCCATAAATACTAATCACTGCAATATTTAAGGAACAAATCAAGGCAAGAGGAGTCTTCATATATCATTTAAAAAAAAAAAAAAAAAGTAAGTGTGACATTAGGCAGAGGAACCAAGCGTGCACACTTATTTTAGATCCAGTAACAAATTCTGTATCTGTGTCACTGCAGCGTTTCACTAAGACTAAGAACCTCTGATCACAGTTGAATCATTAAGGTTGGAAAAGATGTCTAAGTCATCTAGTTCAGCCATTGTATAATCAAAGAATATTAGGATGCTATAATCACAAAATAAACAAGAGAGTTAGGCAAAGCAGACTATGATGACAAAAGGGAATAAACAGAAGGCTTACCCCTATCCTGGGCTCACTCACAAAACACCAGCAGAGGTGATCTCCAGAAGAGATCCTTCCCCACTGGTAGCCAGCTCTTAAATAGGTCTATGAGGAGTGGAACCAGGCTCCAGCCCTTCTGGCAGCACAGGTGAATTGCCCTCACCTGTGCTCCTCTGGCTGGCTCATTGCTCGCATCAGGTGATCAGTCAGAGGTTCAGGCCTTGACTCTGCAGTTCCCATACAACCATCAACCCATCCCCACCACGCTGAATTACCTACATCCCCAATGCTACACTGCTTTGAGAGAAGGAAAATCTCTCTGTGCAGCACCATGTTGTACCCTCCAGGTGTGCAAGGATCGATCCCAGCTTTCACCACAGCAAAAGCGTGTCCACAACACACACCCTCCTGTCATAACATCAGTCCTAGCACTGCAGAGAAGTGGAGAGAAACCCCAGACTCAGCATAATGGTAATTAACATGCCAAACCAGACTTGCACAACAAAAGAAAGGGCGCTTGTGCCAAGTCTGCAGAAGGCAAAAGGCCTTTCCAATTCTTGTTTGTTGACAGTTAACTGAGATCTGAATTGGCACAGGTGTTTAATTTCTCAAAGGTGTTCTCCCCATCTCCAACATGATGACATTAGGAAATAATTTTTTCAGCAAGGGAGTGACCAAGCACTGGAACTGGCATCCCAGAGAAGTGCTGGAGAACCATCTCTGAAACTAATTAAGGGACATATGGATGTGATTTTGTGATGGAACTCAGCAGATAAGTTGCTGGTTGGATTTGATGACCTGAAAGTCTTTTCCAACTGAACAATACTAAGTGGGGCAGACTGTGCATATTCTGTGTTGCAACCAAACTAAAACAGAAACATTAAATGTCCCATGTGTGTTAGCTTCCTGGAGCAGCATCAGGCTTGTCTTAGGAGAGGTGACTCAGATAATCACAGTTCCTTTGTCAGTGAACTGCAGTTTCATGACATTGCAGAAAATCGGACATAATTATCCCTTCAGTGAGACAGTAAAAACCTCATGATTCTGAAGTGCCCCGAGTTGTGTGAGTGAGAAGTGCTAAGTGTATTATTATTACTCTTCACAGCCATCAATCATCTACCTTTCAGCAGCATAAACATTCAGTCTGAGCTAAATCTCAGCAGAATTGCTCCGGAATAGGTCAAGCTACATAATGAGTATTCTCTCTTTTAGGACTGATGGGCTGATACAACACATACGAGTTCTAGCTCAGCATGCTGCTCTGCTAATGCTTCCTCACGTACCCAATTATACTCTTGTATTTGTTAATGTTACATGAAAAATCTTTACAATTACAGTAAATCACCCACTATGAATCCTGCAGCTGAAGTTTTTTAATGAACATTCATTATAGGAAGAAAACATCTCCTCGGGCAAAACCATGGGGGAAAAAATAGTTTTATGGCACATGAAATTCTGGCTTTCCTTGTCTAGTATAATTTACTTAGTATACAGAGCCAAGATGCAGCTCTTACATACACAAAATGCAGATGTTTAGCGTCCACCCAATTGATTGGTAAATGGGAAAATAAGCAGTGTCACTAAGATTCTGGTTTCATTACAGCAGCCAAAACATCATCAGAGCGTGGCCATTTGCAAGTGTCATAGCAAGCTTAGCTGGCATCACTCATGGCTGAAGTGAACCATAGGGAAAGGATTCATTTTGGTGCTTTGAGTCACCAATAAGCCCAAGAGCCACTGAAATACATTTATGCCAAAAACACACCATGTTCTATAATCTCAGCTAATTTAAGAGTTTCCTTTAAATAATTTCTGAGGCATCTCCCCCACAGGACTCATCACCATTGATGGAGATGTCTGCATTGCTGGCGTTAAGAGGGTGAGACCTCCCAAGCAGACTTCCTTCCAACTGCTGTGAATAACCGGACCTTTATTTGTGGTCTCTGAAAATCATCTTGTTCTGAGTCCTTCTAATTAGCTTCAGCAGTGGCTGAGAAATTATTTATGATAAGAGCAACCGTGCTTGCATTAAGAAGGTGAATTAGAAACTTATAATTCACACCAGGACGCAGTGGGGTGGGAAGGAGAGCAGAACCAGGACACAGTTTGCAAAGCTTTTCATTGCAAAGCAAGCTGAGCAATCAACACCGATGATACCACCGTTTCATCTCTGACGGTAATGCAACAAGGCACCAGGCCTTCTGTCTCTTTTTGCCAAAGCACAGCTCTGCTACTCCCTGGGAAAGCATAAAGGACCAAAATACAAGTGCATCAATGTTGCTTGTACTGAAATTTAGTCGAAACTGGGAAAGAAAGGGAAGTAAAACCAATGGGCAAAACTATGTACTTACTAAGGAATCCTCCTGCTTAAAAATGCAAAGACAACAATGTGGATACAACGATCTGGTTACTCACTAGAGAGCAAGTCTTTGTAGGTGCAAATGCAAATCAATTGACACAAAAGGACCTGAGCAGAACAAATAATTACACATGGGGATTTCAATGGGGGATTTCAGACACCGCCATCTTTGTGATCTGAATAGTGCTTTGGGGAACCTTGGCTTGGGAAAGTGCACCATGTGGTTAAAATCATACAAAACTCATGGGTTAGACTAATAGCTGCTTCCTTGTTTCTTGGGGATCTGAGACCTAATTCAACACGTATATTTGGCATTTTGGGTTTTAATGCGTTTATCTCCTATATGCTCACCAGGATAAAGCTAAGGAGGTCTTCAAATCTGCAACCTAAAGAAGTGAACTTCAGGTAAATCAAATTATTTCAGCTATATAGAATGGGGGATCTGCAATATCATATACCATCCCATGTTGGAAGGGACCCATGAGGATCATTTGAGTTCAACTCCCAGCTCCACACAGCACGTGAACTCTTGATTAAAGTAACTCAAATTGAAACCAGAAACAAACTGCCCTCACCACTTCCTCAGAGCTCTTAAGCCACTTTAATTAATAAAATGGCAAAAAGATTAACGAATCACTCAGGAATTTGATGTGAGACAGAGCTGCCCTACCCAGTGGTGAGCAAGGCAGGATA